GGGGCAACTGAAATTAGTTGGCCAACTAATCGATTATCAAAATAATCATTATTTGCAGCCCTAAAACACAGTAAAGGTGTATTTGGATCAAGACAGTCCATATGATGCATTGGAGAATGTTACCGTTCACTGGTGCAGCCACTACTTGTTAGGGCACGAGTGTCAAAACCGACCACCAGCCCTCTTGTTTTCAGGTCAGGGAAATATTTGGCTAAGTACTTGTACATCCCCTACAAGAATAATGAAGAAAAGACAGAGTTATCATCATCAAAAGAAATACAAAATGCCAAAAAAATACAAGATATAAATCAAACAAAACAACAAAGAGAACAAGATAAAAGCTTGTGGGTCATGTGTCCAGAGGCAGTATTCCAGATAAATGTGGAGTTGGTCATTGTTGATATGATTGGTCTTCAATTTCAAGGAACATGTCAAATTCACTGCATTAATAATAATAATAAAAAAAATAGAAAAATAAATACAATTGAAAAGCAAAATGCTAACAAAATGGGAATGTGTGTAGAAGTGTTACACACTATTTATACTTACATAGAATCAGCAAACATAGAAGCTATGTCAAGTGTCAAGATATAGTGTAGTGATGAGATAAAACCCCTCTGTATGTGTTGTAATCCAAGCTTTTCTGTTCAGTTTTTCAGCAGCTGGGACGGGCAGAGCGTGTTTGTATGTTGGCCCTTCCTGCAGAGTGACCTCCCACACCGCTCTGTAAAACCAAGATGGCAGCGCAAAGTATGGAGCTTTCTGCTGATGGTTAACTTCCACAAAAAAAGGGTTCTGCTGCTAATGGGTTATAATTTCACTAACAACTTCTAACAACTACTACACTTTTGTAATGACAACATCTTAGCCACGTCTCTATATTAGCATCATATTTACCTTGTCACTTGACATTATTTAGAAATGCATCTCAATGAATATATTTATGAAAACAATGTCCTATCTTATTGCACAGCATCAAAGCAGTAAATAATAACAGCACAGTCCAAAATATCTTAAAGGAGACATATTATGCCCCTTTTTACAATATGTAATATAAGTCTCTGGTGTCCCCAGAATGTATCTGTGAAGTTTCAGCTCAAAATACCGCACATATAATTTATTATATCATTTTGAAAATGCCTATTTTGAGTGGAAGCAGAAACACGCTGTTTTTCGGGCCTGTGTCTTTAAATGCAAATGAGCTGCTGCTCCCCGCCCCTTTTCCAGAATAGAGCTGCCAGTGTTGCCAACTTAGCAATTTTGTTGCTAAATTTAGCAACTTTTCAGACTACCCTAGCAACTTTTTCACCTAAAAGCACCTAGCAACAAATTTAGCAATTTTAAACATTTATTTGGCAACTTTTAGCAACTTTTGATAAGAACTCAGACAATAAAAAGGCACACATTGTCCATCCAAATTACACAAAAAGAGGAAACCACAGATGCCTAGCAGTACACACATCACGAGAATTGATTTAGCTGCTATTTGCAATTGTTCAATTTAATAATAATAATAATAATATAATTTGATAATTGAATAATTGTTCATTTATTATACACTTTGCTAGTAGCTTGTACCTGCGATTGTTGATCAGTTAGTACACTGTAAGAAAAAAAGAAAACCTGTAACCCGAAAACACAATGCGTAATTTAAAATACAGGTAAAAAAACCCATTACGGAAACATAATTTCATATTAACAGTAGATTGTGCCTTATTTTTACAGACGTTTCTTAGAGTGTAGCATACTAACTAACTACTAATACACTGCTTAAAGCATAATTGTTGAGAATGTGTAGAGTTTACTAGCTACTAAAAAAACTTAAATTGCAATCATTTAAAAATGTGTAAGTTTTCAATAATTCAATGCATTTAAAAATACTGTTATTTATATTTTATTATTATATCATGCATATTATTTAAAAAAAAAATCTAAATTAACATATATAAAATATATTTTTTGCTGAGGTTTGATCATTACGCAATGACATCACAATGTAATTTAGCAACTTTTAGCAACAAATCGACCTTCCTTTAGCAACTTTCTCTGAAAATTAGTTGATAACACTGAGAGCTGCACCATTACAGCTCGGACCTGCTAAAAACATCTGTTATGGTTCTGATTATCATGTTTATCACGCTGAAATCATGCGTTTTAAACCATATGAGTTTAAACTAATGTGGAAAATAAAGACATAATATATTACTAGGCCTACTTATTTTCTGCTGCCCATCAACACGGAGATATACATATAAATATATACTATTGTTAAACAGTAATTCAATGGTAAAATCTGAAATTCCACGACTACACTAAATAGATATTGAAATCGACCTTATACTGTGATATATTCTTGCTATGACAATATCATTGAATTACAGATATTCATACTGTCAGATGGCTGTATTTTGATATTTTATTGTTGAAATAATACAAACAGAGTGGTTTCACTTCACGCTTAGTGTAAACAGGCCATTAAATTGAAGGTCAAATAATGAGATTCCATCTGCATACTGTTAACCTGGACTAACCTGTGTGGACTGGATGACAGTTAGGTCATTGATGCAAGCAAACCCCGCACCCATCTCCGCTCTCAAGCCAGCTGTTCCAAACGTCATCCTGGTGCACAACCTCCTCCTCAGCTCCACCACATGGCCCTTTCGCACCAGAGACTCCATCTGCTTCCGTGTCTGAGGATTCTAAAGAGCCAAAAACTAGTGTTGTCATCTTAAATTTCAATTAAAAAAATTATAATTACACCCCTGAACCCAAGCATAAAATGGCCCCTAAGTCTATATTTATCTAGGGTCCCAACATAGTTCCCAAGGCTTCATTTGGGGACTCTTCCCAGCAAATACTGATATATGCAATAATTTGTCTAATTAATAGGCATTTCTTTCATTCATTTATTTTTAAGGACAAACATGATTCGGAGACACCGCAGGCCATTGCAAATGGTAAGTTATTGATCAGATCAAAAATCAATAATGTTCTTACATATAAAAAGTGAAAAGAGGGCAGCGCCAGACACTCTTCCCAGCATTTGCTTTAGTATGTCAGGTTCAGTAATGAGTCAGCTGTAATGCATCTAATCATGGATTTTTTTAAACAGTCTGGACGGAAAAATAATTCCTTTTTTTTTTCCCGTCGCTGAACGCTTATCTCTACAGCCTAGACAGAACAGGCTTCCAATTAATCCAAACATGTAAGCTAGCTGAGACATCTAAATATGTGAACAAAAGAATGCTTAAATAGCATTAAAAGTACACAATCAGTAAAAGTACCACTTAAACATACCACAAAGTGAAATGCCACTTTCCATCTATTTTTGCTGGGCTAATGGCTTTTTTTTGTTTTTGTTCCACAACTGCCAGTTGGTTGCCCCGTAGTGTACTACTATATGCATCAGTCATCCAGTGCTGGCGGAGTTTGACATTTGCAAGAGGAGGTCAGCCAGACATATGACTATTAAATTTGCCTGAGCAACAAAAACCGAAAAGAGATGCAAACTGTACTAATATACTTACAAAACAATGTGTAATTTCTGAACATATCTGAAATAGCACTAAAATAGTTTCAATGTACCATCTCTGAGATCTCAATATTTAAAGCATAAGACTTTTTTGATATATTAAAAACATAGTGATACTATAATATCACCATGGCATACCATGGCATACCACTCATACCATGAGTTTGCATTGGTCTCCTATGTAAGGAATTTTAACTCAGTTGTAAGGGAATTAATTATTATTATTGATTCAGGTTTTGATAGGACTCGGATTTGAAACTTCGAAGTCCACCTGATTAAACCGATTTCAAATTTGTAATGTTACACTTGTCGTCCAGCGAGCCGTGATTTCAGTATCTTTTAACAAACTATGTATCCGTATTCTCCCTGGCCACGGGTGAAATACAATTATGATCATTTGTAAGCTCTTAAAGAGGTAATTATTATCAGTAAGCCACGAGCTAGGTAGCAAGCAAGGGATCTTTTTGGCAACAGTTTTAACCTTGAAATTATATGACACCAGACAGTACTTCTTTATAAATGAAACATGAATTTATTGGCTATTCTAGATTACATCAACTAAACTAAAACACACAAAATTACACACACACATGTACAGGTTCTTGGGATGTGAGTTGACGGAGTTTCATAGTTCTACCTCGTTTTCACAAGTGATTTAGGTTCACCTGAGAGAACTCACAAAGCAGATACTTTAGTTTATGTTTACTCCTTAAATCATCTAGTTCACCAGTTCAGCAGATCGAAGATTTTGTTTGTACTTGCGTTTTGCTGGTTGACAGCTGGAAAGCTGAGGTGATTCCGGCGCTAGGTAAAAGGGAAGGGTCCTGCGGTCATTCTCAGGTCAGATCTGAGAGTCTGCTGGAGAATCTCCTGCTGGACAGGAAGCTATAAAATTGTCTCTTTTGTTGATCGGATTTAACAATTTATGCGTCAAATGGTCATGAGGTCCGTGCGATTCTGTGCGGGGCTCTGTTTAGATACCAGGTTCTCTGTTCTTTGGTCCATTAGATGTTTTATTGATGCTGAAACCAGTCACGAAACCTACTGACCTTCTGTAGCTTAAACGGATCCAGATGGGAGGGGTCAGTTCTTGTTGTCTTAGTATGCTTCGACATGGAGGTGGCCTGGCAAATCATTAGACTGTTAGCATCCGACTAACGCTAGATAGGTGTGTAAAGTCTAACTTTCTAACCACTCCTCTCTCTCTCTCTCTATCCCCGTCACTCCTGGGGTCACTTCCTGTTGATGCCATCACCTCCACTTTGGATTCAGTTTGGCCGGTCTCTCCCCACATACTTTAGTTTTTACTTGTGTTATTGTTTATTTTTGTTTTGACTTTATTCTACCTCTCTTTAATTTTATTGCATTTATTTACATTTGTTTAGCACAAATGTACCAATTCAGCTAAATAGTTTTTTATTAAATTTGATATTTTTTTTTATTTTATTTTTTTATTTACTTTCCCTTTTAATTTCCTACAGCTATTAGGACCCCTTTTGTTTGTTTTGTTTTACTTTTATCTTATTTTAGCTATTTTACCATCACCATCTTCGCGTTTTGTATAGGATTACAGTAGTTCTAGCAACTGTTGTTTCCTTAATGAGTTACACAGGTTATTAGTAGCCTAATCCCTGTTTCCTCTCTACTTCTCCTCACGCCTCAGTGCCAGGCCTAATACGTTGAAGGGCAGCTACCATTGCAACACAATATAGGCTAACATAAAACTAGAAACAATTCCCACTGTTTCTTTTTCTTTTGAGGCACCAACAGCCAGAGAGCCACCACTGTCTCCTAGCCGTGAGTGACAGGTGTGTTAGATTGTTCTGCACCTTTGACGTCGCTCGTTGTTGTCTATTCTACGGACTACAACACCCGTAAAGGGGGAATTTGTAGCGTCTGGACCAATCAAACACACAATTTTTCATTTGATTTAACAAATCAGTTATTCGTTAGATTAACAAATCGTCACAGTCCCCTCAGCAAATAATCTGGATGCCAGGATGTCTGCAACGACACGAGGCCCCCCCCTGGTTACCATGGCAACCCTGACACCAGATACATTTACGACCTTATGGAATGTAAGTAGGGAAAATAACTGCCTTTTTTTAAGGAAGAGACACGGTGCACAGTAGAAATGGACTCTTTTCTAATTAATTCATAGGAGACCCTTTCTTTGATTGAACACACATACCCTTCAGTTCATCGTGTATGTTGTCTTTGAGATGTTATACTGTTTTATGCAGGCTTATGATCGAAACACTCATTCCTGTCATCTTACCTATGTGTAATCCTACCATGTTTAGTATATATGAATTCGCCTTCTGATAAATCTGCTGCATATCAAATGGTACCATAGTTTCATATTCTTATTTCTCTTCTTTACTGCGTTAAGCTTTAACCCTTTCCTATACAAACTGTATGCGTGTGTGTGTATGTGTATGTTAGACCAGTTTAAGTGTTTATGTAGTATGTTAGACTAGTTTAAGTGTTTATGTAGTTAATAAAGTCTTACTTGTATCACACTTGACGTTGTTCATTGTTTGCTCATAACTGGAGTCACTTAATCATGCAGATTTATGCTACAAGCTCTTTGTAGAATTGTACAGTAAGAAAGTTATTTCCCTTAACCAGGAAATTAACGTTCTTAGAATTGACAGACAGTTGACCCTGAGAGGTCAAGTAAATATCTACAGCGGATCTAAATATTTATAATTAATTATAGCTAGTTATGATTAATTATTCATATTTCCCCATGAGCTGATTCGCTACAAATGCCACAGTACTACTATGGTATGTATCCAAAAACCATTGTAGTAACATGGCACATATCAAATTACAATGGTATCACCATCATCTGATATCATCATTGTACCACCACATCCCAACATTTCATTGACTCAAGTTGGCACTGCAATGCAGTGAAATGCAATGTGATACTAAATGCTTCAGAGGGTTTTTTTCTGATAACATTGCTCTTAATGGTCATGACTACAAAAAAAACAAAAACAAAAAAACATACACACACACACAGTCGTATAATTTCTAAGCAGATGCTATATTAAAAAAATTATGAGCACAGTCTGATTAAGACAAACAACATATGAACAATATGAAAACACTTCATAAAGCCACTGACAGTGGCAAGGGTTGGCAACCATTGTCACCAGTGTTGGGGGTAACTCATTACAAATAACGTGAGTTACGTAATCAGATTACTTTTTTTCAAGTAACTAGTAAAGTAACGCATTACTTTTTAATTTTCAAGAGAATATCTGAGTTACTTTTTCAAATAAGTAATGCAATGTATTGATTGACAGCTCTCCTGTCCCCATGTTGAGGGAAATCAGAAAATGTTACTGTAGTTCCAAAATAAATATGAATATGCATTAATTCATCTCACTCTCTGTAACGGGGCTGACAAGACGTAAGACGTGCGGATCCATTCGCAAAGCTTTATCTAAGCAGAAGACAGAGACATGGTCATAACAGGCAGGGTCAAACTATGACAAACAGGTATATGGCGGGCAAAACACAAGAATAGTCCTAGGACTAGCGCAGGTTGACGATCGGCAGACAGAATCAAAAAGGGGCAAGACTAACGGGGTAAATCCAGGAAAACAGGTGAAGACCAGAAACCGAGAAAACAGGCAAGGCAAGACAATACTAGGCTAGGCTAGGCTAGGCTAGGCTAGGCTAGGCTAGGCTAGGCTAGGCTAACGATGGCTCTGTAGTGTAACTATCAACGAATAGGCACTAAACAATACTCGGCAGAGGGAAGGGATCAGAGTGAGTGTTAAATAGTGAGGGAGTGATATGAAACAGCTGGGTGCAATCAGTGTTGTGTGCAATTAGTGAACCAGCTGTGTGCAATCAGTGCAATGAATGATGGGATATGTAGTCCGGGAAGATATGCAACAGTGTGAGTGCGAGAGTCAATGAAAATGGGAAGGGTGACCTCTGATGGTTAGCCGACGGAAGTTCATGGACCGGATTCGTGACACTCACAATAAAAAACACAGATTCAGTATTCCTCAAAATGAATAAAAATGCAACTCAGAATATGACGCAAACCTGCAATAATTAAATATCCTTTATGTATTTAATCCCATTCTATTAACCAATGTCTTTGCTTCTGACCTTTGATGATCCAGTTCAGCCGTACTAATCAGCAAAAATTACTCTAGACAAACATTTGCATGTCTTTTTTTATTGCTGATGTGTGTTGAAATTTCCTCTTCTGCATTCTACTGTACGGACTTAAATTTACTTTCCCTTCAGCCTGAGGCTTATTCATTTCACTTTTGGTGTGAAAAGACTTTTATATTTGCCAAAAATTTAACTTTTTTATTTTAAAACAAACAAGCAAGCCCTGTTCAGATTTTAATAGTAACGCAAAAGTAACGTAATGCATTACTTTCCATAAAAAAGTAACTAAGTACCATAATTAGTTACTTTTTATGGAGTAACGCAATATTGTAATGCATTACTTTTAAAAGTAACTTTCCCCAACACTGATTGTCACACACACACACACACACACACACACACACACACACATACATACATACATAATGTCAGTGTGAGAATGTTTAAAACCAGTTACATTCTCACCTTATCCCAGGCCATCCACTGATTGACTGCTTTGTCCAGGACCAGGTCCCCAGTGCTGCTGAGACATTGTGAGTTTGCGTTGAGGTCTCCATTAGACCCCATTTTAGCGGTAGATCCAGATGGGTGCGACTGAATGTTATATTATTGCACACAGCAGCGTGCTCGGAAATTAAAGATTAACGGCGTGACGTCACCATTCAAATCGGTCACAAAGACGAAAGGCGAGACAGACCGTCAACTTGTCACACTAAATGCGTCTCAAAATAAGTACTGTTATACGTCGCGTCAGTTTATCCATGCCCACAGACATTCGGGTCATTTTAAATACAAAATTTTCTAATGCTATAAAACATAATTCAGTGTTGCATTGCAGCTGGATTACTTCACTTTAAACCTAACAATGTTTCCTCAGTTAGAGCAGCCGGTGAGCCGCATGCAGTTAGCCCTGGTGGATTTAGCCTAGTTATGTGCGTTTGTTGGTGATCAAAAAAGCAGTTCCAATATGAACGCACTTCACGTCACAAAACACGTGTGCAAATGTTTCTCTAAAACTGAAAGAATTGCTGTGGATTTATGGCGCATAAGAACAGCGGTTACTTCTTCTTCTTCTTCTTCTTTTTGTTCAATGACCGTTCACTCCTTAGGAGTATTACCGTCACCTACTGTATATCTTGCGCATATGGGTGATGAATCTGTACTAAATAAAAACTAAATAATATATATATATATATTGGAATGCCCCACCCACCCCAGAGGATCAGAGCCCAAACTTCAGCTGGCGCTGTGTTCAGCTCCTCTAGCTTCCACACTGTGCTCCTCAACCTCCGAGATGGGCAGAAGCATCATGATCCTCATCCTCAAACACTAAATCCTGTGGTCTAATCCTGTAAACTCAAAAATGTTAAAACCACCATAAACATCTGACTATCACTCAAACCCTTTCCCAGAAGGTCCACGACACTCACTGGTCTGTTCCTTATATTGCTAAAAAGACTGTTACGCTGATCTTCATATTTACTACATTTAAAGAGCACATGCTCTACTGTTTCAAAAACATCACATTCATCACACATACCATTTTCATGCTTCCCCATTAATGCAAGTGTTGAATTTAGTCCTGTGTGACCCATCCTTAATCTAGAAATCATTACTTCTTCCTTTCTGTCTTCCATAAAAGGCTATAATGGGTTTTCATGTTTTTGAATCATCGCTCTGGCCTGACAGGGCATCGTCACAGTATGGTAAGAGGCGTAACATTTCCGTCACACGCTTGAGGTATTCGACCAATCACAATCACAGCACACCTTGCTTTTCAGACCGATGAGCTTTGTAAAAATCATTTCAGAACGATTCAGAGCATTTCAGAAAGGCGGGGCATAGAGGAGAAACAATAATGTACAGTATGTGAAAAATAATGTGTTTTTTTAACCTTAAACTGCATAAACACATTTCATTACACCAAATACACAAAATAATGTTATTTTAGCAACATCATATGGCCCCTTTAATCAATCGGATTGAGCTCGATCGGAATGAAATTTCGATCGGATTGAAGGGGGTGGTTTATTTCTTTTCTAATACGATTGAGAGTGCATATAAACACTCGATCGGATTGAACCCCGAAACGGAAAGGACTGCGCATGTGCAATGAAATAGCGTAATGACGTATGATGCGCGGAACGAACGGCTCTTCCTTTCGAATAAAGGGTTGTATAAATGCGTGTCCTGTCATTATAGAACTCTCCTTTCACTCGGCCACTGTGAAGTGGAGCAGGACAACCTCCCACCAGTCCTTGGTTTAGATTCTCATCCACACGCGAACCCGTTTTGGGTGCGGGGTGGGGTATATGTATAGGCGGCACAGCGGTTTATATGTATATTTATCCATACATTGATAAATATTAATTCTGCTGTTAAAAACAAATAAAGAAACCGTGTAGGAGAGTGGTTATTATGTGCAAACATTGAGAAACTCTATATTTGTTCAGTGTGCGCATCTAAAAAAAAAAGAAGCTATTTTTACAATTCATCTGAACTATGTGCATGTATTTTAGACTCGTACATTGTTCTTGCTCAATCCATGCAATAACTGCGTCCTTCTGTCAACCGAGTTTCTATTTACTTATACTGCTGTGTAATATCGACGGTATGACCCATTTCAGGAGCTGACAAAATTACTATTTAAAATCAGAGCATAGCTCACATTCACTAAAATACTGAAACGCTAATGATGCTGATTAAAAACGACAATGCAGGTTGACAGTCAAAGTATAGCATGGCCCATCCCCTGCAGCTGAACTGGAAGTTTTGATTTGTTTTGCACCCGAGTCAGACCTGTCTGTTATTGGCTGAAGCGCAGGGCTCCAACCCAGCAGTTTGAAAAGTGCCCGTCAAACGCCGGCTCTCTCTTCTCCATCAGCACCTTCTTTGTCACTTTTTTTTTTTTACTTTGTAATTTTGGTGAAAAATAAATGTAGCGAAGTTGAATACTTTAGTTTTATTCTACTCAAGTAAAAGTAAAAGTACCACAATTTAATTATACTCAAGAAAGTAGAAAAAATGTAAAAATGTACTCAAGTAGGCTACTGTAACAAAAGTATTTGTAATTAGTTACTTTCCACCTCAT